GTGCAGCTCTGGAAGTTGTATGTAGATCAGAAGCAAGAAGAGCATGCTGGAAGGGAGATAATATCCCATAAACAATAATTCTCTCAGCCCAATGAGTTCTATATATTTCTATATTCCTTCTTCTTTGAACAGCTTATTTATTCTCCCCCATCCTTCACCTGAAGAGGACTGAAGGCCCTTCTCTGCTGAACACCAAGCATCTGGGCTTGTGGATCAGTTAAAACCTCAATTACCACATGTTGGGGATCAGCCATGCCATCTCTTCTCTGGCAGGGATCAAAACTGCTTATATTCTGAGAAAGCACAGTCTTCCTGAGAAGCTTGTCTGGGGGCTCATCAAATGGAATTAAAGGCCAAATCTCTCCCCAAAAGAGAATTGCCTATTACAATTTTCTGTAAAATCCAGGTATGTTCACCTATTGTGCTAAGCTATGATTTGTTTTTAACTAGGGTCTGTTGAACAAGCCTAGGCTTATACATAAGCAAAATATTACAACTTATTCAAACAAGTTTTGTTTTCTTTCCTTTTCTACCAGTGTCCACATAATGTACTAAACATAATAGCATGAACAAAAAGTTGTTTTGCCTATGCCTCTGTTTGTTCTACGAAATGTTTATGCAGAGTGGTTTTTTCCTTCTCTAGTGGATGCAAATTGCTTATAAGTTTGTGTGACAATAGTGTTGCTGGGTGGAATAAAAAAATTAGAGAAAACACTTGGGAATCAACACCTGTTTTGGTGCTTTTGCCTTGCACCTCTGTGGCTTGGCCAAAACACAAAAACAAACAAGGACTAAGCCAGAATTTGGACATAATAATAAAATTAGAAAAAGGTAGATTTGTAAACCAAATTCAAAACATAATTTCAAACTGGGAATTATTAAAAAATAAACCATGATTTGCTGCCTGAGACAAAACAAATAACTGGCTTAGTGTTATTGGGGCACTGAGAATAGGAAATTTGGAAGCTACCATAAATAGTCTTTTTTTTAAAAAATCACTCCTGTATTGCCTTTTCCCCAATTTGGGATGACCTGTCAATCCCATGCAGTTCAGACGGCACGGCTTTGGAGGTAATAACCTCATTATGTGTTTATACAAGGCTAACCGGCTGCCTATCTAAAATAAATTTAGAATAGAAAAAAGGAACACCTAATAAAGCTACATGTTCATAAGGTAAAAAAATGGCTACAGCCTTGGAAAATATATCCTGATTTTAAGTAAGAACTGTATTATTTAACGTACTTGCAGAATTAAGTGTGCGGTTAAACTTACCAGTGATACTTGACTGTTTAAACACATCTTTTATTTATTTATTTAACTTATTTATATATCATATTTATACTATTATTAAAAGGCTAGGAGAGAGTGTCAGATATTACAAACAATATTTTCACAGATAATTGGGTTATGGAAAGGGATGGTATTTATTACTAAAGGAATACAATAGAGTGGGAGGAACATGCAACTTGCTTCTAACTCAAAACATGTAAGATTCAGATGGGCATTCCCACTCTTACTACTTAGCCACATAATGTAAGATTTGTAAGATTTCATGGCAAATACATTAAGTGTCTCACCTCTATCTCATGCAATAAATTTTAGTATTTCATTAGGTATATGCCAAGACAAAGGGTACAAAAACAGAGACTTTAGATATCTGAAAAACCAGAGTCCTGCCAGGATGGCTATGGACTCCAATTTTGTCTCACAATAATAACCAGGATAAAGACAATGCCAGATACTCCTTAAGCTTTTGATCCCTTAGCTTTGATCACTACCATCCATCCAAATGCCTTTAGTAAGAAAGAACAGCAAAACATTCACACAGTACACCCTCCTCAGGAGCTTATCCCAAAAGAAAAGTAATGGCTACCTTTACATCCATTGAACACGGCACTCAAAATCTTCCAAAAGGAGAGCAGTGGATTTTCCATGCCAACCTTTTCTGACCTGGATCCCTCCCAGAAGCAGAGACTTCCAATATTACCTGGCTAGCCTAGCCACTGAGATCCAACATCTGGAGAGCACCTAGGCCAGGAAAATCTGCTCTGTTTTCATTGTGGTGGGGCGGTTTATAAAAAGTAAGCCATCTTATAAACGCTTAGGAAAAAGAGTTAACAAAAACAGGAAAACCTGAGTACAAAACCACTGATGGGTTAGCATTTATCCACCCACCCACCCATGTAAATTCTGAACAACTGTTAGAAAACTGGGAACCCTGCCTGTGTTCTGCATAACAGCTGGAGGCTATGCAGCAGCCTCTTCTTTTAGTCATCTGACTAAAGAGAGTAGGACTATTAGCCTCCCTTCCATTCTGAGCCCTTGAGCCTCATTGTTCCATTAATCTCTAGCAGAGGAGGGGAAAAGAAAAGAGAAAACATGGCCTGTGGCCCAGGAAACTACTTTCCACTAGGAATAAATAAATCTGCAGCACTGCTTTCTTCCACATTCATTTATTAAAAAGAAAAAAACTCAAGTTCTTTCCATTCTATTTATGAAGGAATGTGCTAATATAACTTCTTTAAAAATGAGGCTATTATCTTTCCAACCCTTTATAATGATTCTTTGATAAGGAACATTGCAGAGCTGTTGTTCAACCAAATAGTGAAGCCCATCCCACAGCAAATAGGTTACTGTGACAAATCTAATTGGATCAAACTGCCTTGCAGAGGCCACTGATGCTCATGTAACCTAAACATATGGAACACAACGAATAGCTTTTCTGAAGCACTGCTTGGATTTAGACCGAGTCACAAGTGTAATTTCTTCACTGATTTCAGAGTATCAGTTTCTGACCCAGAAAACACCAACTGCTAGGGGAACAATCCACTTCTAATCCCCATCTCCACCCATCCTGCCTTCTCACTGCTGACTTCTTCCTTGCTACAGAACTGTTTGAAGCCTTGCTTTCTTGATCTTGCTTGTGTTGGTCTGTTGTAGCCAAAAATCATCTGACGAAGTGAGCGACAGCTCGTGAAAGCTTATTCCTTTTTAATAAAATTTGTTAATATGAAAAGGTGCTACCAGACTGCTTTTTAAATGGATCACTGAAAGCTTATACATAAGATTAGGAGAGCCACTGCTAATCAGTATAGACAATAGTGCTCTAAAAGCCATCTTATCTCCTGCAGCCCTCTAAAGGTGTTGGACTAAAAATCTCAACATTTGCAGCTGGAGTCCAACATGTCTAAAGGGCAGATTGTGAAAGCCTGATTGGAAAGGGGAAAAAAGGACAGGGAGGAAAGCAAGCTAACTCAGCCACCTATTTCTAGAAAGATGTTCTAATGAACTGCTAAACTGGAAATAATTCAGAACAGGAGTGAGGCTGGTAACAATGCATTAAGCTAAGATCACAACATTCCCATTATCTCCCATGTTGCAAGAAGCATGCTTCCGGCATGTTGCCAGCTGTTTTCTTGATGCAATCCAGGTAGCTCAGGGCTCATTAGAGACACTTCCCAATGAACTTTCCTGGACAGGGAGATGTGAAGGAGACTACCCATCTGAGGACCACCTCCTGTACGTGGTGCTAAGTAGGGTCAAATCTGGTTAGTACTTGGATGGCTGTCAGGAAATCCCAGAGATGTAGGTTAGACTGGGAGGTTGGGGGGAGGGGAGAAACACCCTGAGGGAAGGCAATGCAAACCAATTCTATACAGATACCAAAAGAAAAAAGAAAAAAAGACTACCTGGATGTCTCCATGAAGTGACAGAGAGAAGAGCTCGGCTGGAAGGAAAGTTCAGCTTACACCTCCTGCATGGTTCCAGAATCAAGAAATGCACTCCCTTGGGAGTTGCATCTGGCCCCGCTCTCTTTTAGAAAATGAGTTAAGCCACAGCTTTTCAACCAGCATTTTATAAAAACAGATTTTTACATAATGTTTTTTTCTTTAGGATCCTATTTATTTTTGTTTCTTGCTATTTTTGGCTGCGTTTTACCTTTTACTGTAATTGTGAGGGTTCTTTAAAAAAAAAATGCTGGTGCCTCTCTCTAGCTGCCCAAATCCTCTTGCTCGGAAGGAAAGGTAGGCCATATAGCTAAACAATGCAGGAGTTGTGTTTTTGGTGGCCGTATGTTAAAGTCGTCACCGAGACGGCCATAGTCCAGCCGGTAGATCTCCTCTATTCAGTCCGGCTCCAGATGCCCAGCCTTAGTTTAAGAAGGCCATTTGTTCCTTTCCCCAAGATCGAAAGGCCGTCAGTAGATCGTCCCCAGAACTAGGTCTCTACGTGTCCTTCACGGACTAATAAACAAAACCGTTCAATTAGAGGCAAGATACTTGTCACGGGTCCCGAGAATTCATTTCTTAGCAAAACAAATCAAAACAAAACAAACCCCCCAAAGGAATAAAGTTTTATTCGCCTTGGGGACGAGTCGAACCACGACCGCAGTTTCACCAGGCTGGCAAAGAAAGCAGTCGAGAAAGCCCTGCGAATCTCGCCTCCCCAAATGGGGTCGAGGCAACCATGCCCTCCGCGAATCGCGCGAACTAACAGCGAGCACCAGCCTGCAACTCGCTTAAACGCGAGGGTCGGGAAGAGACAGGACTTTCTAACCGGAGAGGAACGGTCGATGGTCTGATTCACAGGATCTTGGCCGGATCCTCCACGTTCCCACTCCTGGGCGGCCGCCTCCGCGTCCTCCCTGGACCCTCTTCCTCACACCTGCTGCTAGCCGCGGCCCGGGCGCCCTTGCGTGCCTTCTCCTTCAGGCTCTGAACTTTGCGCGCAGCCGACACTCAGCAGTTGCCTCGACCGAATCTCTTCCCCCGTTTCCCCTCTCTTTGGGATCGATGCGCCACCGTATTTACCAGAGCCAAGACCTCCCGTTCCCTCTCCGGAAGGAGAACAAAGAAAGACGAGTAAAGAAAAGGTTACACTCACTTTCTATCGGCTCAATGAACGCAGAGTCCTTTCCGAATCGGCCAAAGCAAAGGGCCTCCGCCGGTTCCGCCTCCTACACACCGCGCTCCCTCCCCCTCCTCCCTCCCCCACCTACCTTAACTCCGAGCCTTTCCTTCCCACGAAACACTCTCTCCTCGGAGCGCCAGAACGCCCTTTCCCAAAAGCTGCTCCGCCGTGAAAGTCGAGCAAGAGGGCTGCCCCCTCCTCCAGAAGGCCAGCGCGGCCCTGGAAAGAAGGGGTTATGTGACCGCGGCAGCCGAGAGGTTCGCAATTAATTGGCTCGGACTCGTTTGAGCCTTACAGCTGAAGTCCTGACGCGGCTCCTGCTAAGCACGGGGGCGCATCCTGAGAGCCCATCCCGTGCAATTTTCTTCTGCAGCCCCTTCCACTGGAGAGCTTTTGAGAGTTTTAGGGGCACGTGCCCAGGACTATCAGTTTCTTCTCACGCTCTTCGGAATGCATGCGTACTTTCTCTCCTGCGCACGTTTGTAGAAATTAACACATTTCCCTGCATGCTTAGCAGTTGTAAATCTCACGGAGCTCTGTGAGACTGAGGTTAAGGTCTGGAGAAAGCACCGGTGAGTAAATCAAGAGACGCCCCCATAATCAAGAGGGGCTAGGTTGAAAGGCGGACCAGCAGAGGCCAAGCGACGACGGGCCTGCTGGAATGCCAATTATGCGAAGGCTGCCTGTACCTGCAGCTGCGCCCCTGCTCACGGCCCCTGAAGCGGGAGGGCCGCTGGGATCCCCGAAAGCGCTGGCAACCCTTCGGGAGTGGGCTGGAGAAGCAAGCTGGGTGTCAGCGCCCGTAGCGCTGGGGCAAGCGCAGACCAGCCCGCTCTGCACGCTCCAAACCCGCCAGGCACGTCTGGGCCTGTGTGCGCATTTGGTAGGCGGAAAAGTCTGCCCTGAAGCCACCATTTCTTTCCACTGCAAAACTATGAGGCATCCTTGGGGAGTGAGGGCTAGTTCCCTTTGCACTTTCTTCTCTAACGGCTTTAAAGGGTGTGGTAGCTTCCCTGCAAAACTCTGCCAGTCTTTTCTACAGTTACTGCTTTAAGAAAACCTCCTTCTGGAACAGGGTGCCCATTTAAGCAAGCGTCGTTTGGGTGAACTGTGCTTTCCTTTAAACATGGGAACTTGGGCCTGAAGGGAGGTGAAAACTCATTAAGATTAGCCTTGCAGGATCAGAAGGCTCTCTCAAAGGGCCTCTATTAGTCCACTTATGGGTTCCTACCAGTACCGTAATAGGAACTTCACCACGCTGGCTGTTCAATAGTTGCTATCCGGTGTCCTACTGCCTCTGCTTCTGGAGTTCATAGTTCATGGCTTGTGGCCCCTGTTCTCCATGAATATATTTCATCCCACTTTTAAAATTGCCTTGCATTGGTGGCCCTAATATCTTCCAATACTGAATGTGTAGGTGGACTATGCATTGTTTTATCTATCCTGAATCTTCCAAAACTCAGTTTTGTAACAAACCGTATGGAGTTGTCCATGTAGTTGCCAGGAGTCAAAAGTGACTTGAAGGCAAAACACACACACTCTTAAAATGAGCTAGAGAGGCCTGCTCGTGTTTCCACTTATGCACAATGTTATTTACCTCTATCATGTTCCCCCATATTGACCTGTTTTGAGCTCAACAATTCCAGAACATAACTTTTCCTCCTGATGGGGTGGTTCTAGCTCTCCAATCATTTTGTTCACCCATTTTTTGCATCTTTTCCAGCAAAGTGTTATCCTTTTGGAGTAGCAGCACTCCAAGTACATGGATGAAGACACTGCAATGTTGACATCTTTAATTCTTTTCCTAGTTATCTCCTATATGCAGTTTACTTTTTCCCAGACAGCTGCCACACACTTGGTTAATGTTTTCATTAAGAAACCCACTACTATCCCAAGGTTACTTTCTTGGTTAGTCACTACCAACTTAAACCCCAGCAATACAGAGAGAAAGTTAGGATTTTTTACCCAACTGATGTTACATTTGTTTATACTAAGTTAGATATAACATTGTAATACTAATTTTCTCAATCTGAAAAATCATTTTACAGCTCTTCAGTGTCCCTTTTTGTTTTAATTTGTAAATAATACCTTGTTGACTAGCCACTTCTCTCCTCACCTCAAACTCCCAACCATGTACTGGGTCCAACCTTTTATTTTATGTTACTTAACTGTC